CGATTCCAAGAATTGCATTTACTACCGGATATATGAGTGCGGAAAATCCTATATTGGTGAAACTAAGAGGCCATTGAATGTTCGCATTGCCGAGCACAAGAATCACACACAGCGAGGGAAACCAGCAAATCAGGAATAGCAGACCATGTTTGAACCCATCAACACAACATCGAGTGGTCCCAAGCTGAGATCTTGCACAGAGAGGAACATTGGTTTAGGAGAAAATTCAAGGAAGCCACATACATGTTGTCCAACAACGTATTCAGACAAGCCAGCGTAAAAATACGCAACATATGGAAACCCATCATCAAGCGAAAAATGGACAACTCCCGCCAAAACGGTCATCTCCCACAGAACCAGTGAAGCGGAAATGGAAAGCGGGGATAAGTGAAAGTACTCGAACGACCTATAAATAGTCATCTCTCGGTGGAATCAGTCCAGTCATCACCCAAACACGATTGTAGATACTAACAATCGAAACGTCGTGAACTAACGTGACTTGGAATCTCTCCACTTTTTATTTTTATTTTCTTTTTTCATTTCTTTATTTTAATTTATTCAATTGTTGTATTTTTACTTGTATTTTATTTCAACTATTATTTCATTTCAGGTTTATTTTGGTTAATATAATTGTTATTTTCAGCTATTCATTTTCAATTCTTTTTTTTTTAGTTGTTTCAGGGATTTCATATCATTTTATATAGTAGACAATGGAAGTCCGAACTAGTGAAATTAACCAGTTGTTGCCACAGTGTGTCAAATCTACGCTACAAGCACCAAGGGGGCGCTGTGCACAACATCATAAATCTATCAATTCCTCCACAGCCACTCGAGACATCATCAACAAGCCCATGACCCATCAAAACTCCTTCTCAAAGCAATTCAACCCTAAAACAACCCTTGACAATATGAGTAACCGATCAATCCCTCACCCGTGAACAACTGTAGAACTAGTTCGGTGTAGGTCGTCGGAACGACACTACGAAAGTTCGGCAGAATGTCAGTGTGAGCAGATGTCAACCAACAGCTGTCTCTTAACCTGGTTATTGAATGTTTACAAAAATATTGACTCCAACCTATTTTCAACTATTTATTGATCCTTATTCATGCCATAGAATAGAAACATATAAGGTAAGTCGCCACATCTTTCCCATTCAGTACGAATATTTGAACATTCATATTATGCAGAATATTTACCGAAAACATCAAACAGTATTCAGAAACCCAGAGCTAACTAATATTGTTTTTCAGGCGATATGGCTCTAATATGTAAGTAAACCTTCTGGAAGTGATGAATAACAATCTATGCAATAAATATTCTTGGAAAGGTACAGAGGCGAAGTCAACTGAGAAACATACAATAACAACTATTTCAACCTAGCGAGGAATTTCGGATTTCCAACGTCGAATGCGAAGTGAATGGTAAGTACTGATCAAAGCAGTTAGTCAGGGAGCATACATATATTCTGGTACATTTCAGGTATGGTTTTCTATGGAACGGAAGATTCCCATTACTACGATGTTAAATGAATAAAATCAACTTGTAACTGAATTACATTGTTAACATCCTCTGAGCTAGACACTCATGTGAAACGTCTCTACAATTTTTAATAACTGAATGGAAAAATACAATTGATAGAAATCAGTACATTGTTGCGACATTTCTCGACCTTAAAAGGGCATTTGAAACAATTGACCGAAATATTCTACTTGAAAAATTAAAATATTATGGGATATCAGGGATTGTTTTCGATTGGATTCAAAGTTACTTATTCAACAGAAGACAAAAAACTAAATTTGGAAAAGAATTGTCAGATGAACTTATAATTGAGAGTGGCATACCCCAGGGTAGTGTGTTAGGTCCATTGCTTTTTATTATTTACCTAAATGATATTAATCACATATCTGGATCACACTGTATAAATCTTTTTGGATGATACATTGGTTTATTGTATACATGAAAATTTGGATCAGGCAATTGTTGAAATGAATAGGTCTTTAAATAGCATTGAAACATATTTATTTATTAATAAACTGAAACTGAATGTCAATAAAACAAAAAGTATGATTTTGACATCATCTTATAAGTATGATCAAATTGTTTGGGCAAATGCTGTTATAAAAATTAATAATGTTAGCATTGAAATTGTGACTGAAATAAAATATTTGAGTTTTATAATTGATAAAAATTTAAAACTAAATAGTCATGCTGATTTTATTTGTAAAAAAATATCTAAAAAACATTTTTTTCTCTCTCGTATATGTAAAAAAGTGTCTATGTATGCTAGGTTGACTATTTTTAAAAGCCTAATGCAACCTCATTTTGATTATTGTACAACATTACTTTTTCTACTTGGTAAAAATAAAATAGCGCAATTGCAATAGCTTCAAAATCGGGGCATGCGATTAATATTGGGGTGTAGCCGTTACTCAGCAATTAAATCGATGTTACGGTGTCTAAACTGGTTTTCAGTTGAAGAACGTATATTATATATGACTATGATCTTTATATTTAAGCTGCATAAAGGATTGCTACCCAATTACTTTCAAAAATTCTTATTGAGAAATAATGAAGTTCACGATTATAATATGAGAAGAAATAACAATTTTTACATTAATAAAACTAACATTAAATTTGGAATGAATAGTATATTTCATAAAGACTTAAACAAATTTAATAAACTACCACAATTTGTAAAAGAATCTAATTCAATAAACCAATTTAAGTCATCATTAAAGAAGTATATTAGTGACAGCTCATTATGATATTTGTATTTTTTTTTTATTTTTTTAATGTGAACTAACCTAATAATCTATAGATATGTATGTATATTTGGTTTTCCTTGAAAGGTACTTTAAAATGTTACTATATTTACATAGTTAATGTCGTGAGATATTTATGAATTTGTAATTTTTCTTTTTTTTTGTATATTAGGCTTGCCTACTTAATAAATAAATACAAATACGAAAAAAAGATTTTAAAAGGTAAGGTAGTGTTTTGAAAGGTCACATAGGAGCAGTTTTGATCTAGTGCTAAATTGAAACGTAACACAGTGACAATACTTACGACAACACAGACTCAATCGAATGGTTCCTCTCCAAACTAGTAACGCTCGACCTCGGCGTGCTGGTAGCCCCGGGTCCGGAAGCGGGAAGAGCCGGGATCGCCGGCGCTGGCCCCGTCACCGGAGACATGCCCGCGGGCACAAGAGGAGCCGCAGTCGGAGGAGCGGACATGCCCGGTATGAGGGGTTGAATGGTAGAGGAGGAGAGTGGCATACTGGAAACCAGGGGGGCATTGAAGTTCGTTGCATGCGATACAAGAGGCGGTATCGAGGAAGAGATAGGCGGGATGCCGCTGAGCAGGGGTTGAACTGGTTGGATAGTTGTTGGCATCGGGGGTACTATGCCTGAAATTCAAGTAAATTTTTATCGTTATTGTGTTTTCACAGAAGACGGAACAGGGATTCCCCAACTTTGACAATTGATAATGGCTATCTTGTTAAAACTACATCTGTCAAATTAGTTGTATTTTTATTATTAACACTCTTTTGTTAGCTTCACCTGTATATATGTGTTTGTTTGTAACTCTCCTTGCTTCATCTATTCGCTGGCAGATGGCGCTGTACGTAACCTTTTTGATATATCGACATTATTGCTTGATCTATTCGCGGGCAGATGGCGCTGTACGTAACGTCCTTGATATATCGACGTTATTTCTTTATCTATTCGCGGACAGATGGCGCTGTACATAACCTCTTTGATATATCGAAATTATTGCTTGATTTATTCGCAGGCAGATGGCGCTGTACGTCTTTACACCAGCGACCTTCCGAGGTCCGAGCATGTGAAGGTATCTCTTTACGCCGATGACACGGCTCTCCTCTCATCAGCGACCTTCCGAGGTCCGAGCATGTGAAGGTATCTCTTTACGCCGATGACACGGCTCTCCTCTCATGTTCCATGGGTCGGGAGCTCGGGATCGTCTATATGCAACGTGCATTGGGCGACCTCGAGCGCTGGTACCTCGAGTGGAAGATACGAGTGAACCCGGAAAAAACTCAGGCAATAACCATGGGAAGAACGATAGCTTCTCCGGCCATGAAAGTAAGAATCTCTGGAAGGGAGATTAACTGGCAAACGCGGGTCAAGTACCTAGGTCTTCTTTTAGACCGTAGGCTCACCTGGAAGCCGCACCTGTTAAGCGTGAAGGCAAAGATCCAGGGTCGGGTGGCAAGCCTGTACCCTTTGATCAATAGAAATTCCAAGTTAAGCCTAAAGAATAAAATCACGATCTATAACACGATGTTCAAGTCTGTCATCATGTACGCTTCAGGCGTTTGGGGACAAGCGGCTCCGACTAACATCTCCATCTTGGAGACCTTACAAAATAAAATTCTACGGATGATTGTGAATGCTCCGTGGTTCGTGCGGAATGAAGCCATCCGCAGAGATTTGAAGCTGCCTTCCATTCAGCTGTCCATCCAGTCGAGGAATCGGCGAGTTTTAGATTACGCTGAAACACACGATACTCCGTTAGTCAGGGAAGCTATAGATTAAGCTGTAGACGACCCCTCTCGATATAGAAGGCCCCGACACTCTGTCGAATGAGGCCTCTATGTCCTCCGCTAACAGATGAATGATATCTTCATCCATCTCACCCCAGCCAGGTAGGGGTACACCGCGAAGGGCGGTATGGATGTCTGAGGACTTTCATGCCACCATCAATAATCAGTTATGACCCGTTTGTCTCTCTGACAAAAACCACCCTAAAGGGTAAGGGAGCAAGGCTTCATCCTGACCAAAACGACGATGACCATCGGCGCTGTACGTAACCTCTTTGATATAATTCGGACTCACTTCAAATGTATTTCTTCATTTGAAAAAAATATTTTTTTTTATTAACACGCGTGCCTGCTGCGGCTGATTGATCCTCGTCTTAAGTTGGAACGAACATCAAGAATGTCTCTCCATCTAGTGGACGAGGTACTGACCAACTGCATATCCGAAATTTACCCGATTTTTCTGAATAAGGAAGAAAAACGTTCTTATTAGTCAGTGGGCTATGCTTGACGACGGGCAGTAAACAAATTTAAAGAAATTAACTTTAAATGTTCAAGCCCTAGGTGTACCTACACAGTAGGTACACTAAATAAGAAAGTTTTTCTTCCTTATTCAGAGGAATCGAGCAAATTTCGATTATGCAGTTGGTTAGTAGCTCGTCCACTAGATGGAGTGACATTTTTGATGTTTGCTCCAACTTAAGACGAGGAATGAAATACTCTGAAAGAATTTCGATTTTCAATTATGGAATACCATTGACTTTAGGTCGACGATGGTCTTGCACTGACGAGTGGCTAAGAAGCCCAAAACCGGTCTGCAAGTGTGCCCGTTCCAAAATGGAGGGTCGACTCTTTCAGTTGCATTGCCAATTGCATATGCAGGAAATTTTCTGTGAAGATTCCTGCACTGACGCCTGTCGGATAAAATCCAACGCCGTTCGTGGTATTAGCCAGGGGAGTAGTTGTTTTCTGATAGGCGTCAGTCCATTCAACCAACTGTGTAGGTATATTCGAGACTGGCTTGAACGTTTGAAGTTCATTTCTTTAGATTTGTTTACTGCCCGTCTTCAAAAATTGACCACTGACTAATAAGAATCGGGCAAATTTCGGATATGCAGTTGGTTAGTATATCGTCCACTAGATGGAGTGACATTTTGTTGTTCGCTCCAACTGAGGAAGAGGAATGATATACTCTGAAAGAATTCCGATTTTCAATTATGGAATATCATTGACTTTAGGTCGACGATGGTCACTGTCTTACACTGATGAGTAGCTAATAAGCCCGAAACCGGTCTGCAAGTGTGCCCGTTCCATAATTGAACGTCGACTCTTTCAGTTGTATTGCTAATTGCATATGCATGAAATTTTCTGTGAAGATTCCTGCACTGACGCCTGTCGGATATAATCCAACGCCGTTCGTGGTAGGCCAGGGGAGTAGTTGTTTTCTGATAGGCGTCAGTCCATTCAACCAACTGTGTAGGTATATTCGAGACTGGCTTGAACGTTCAAAGTTCATTTCTTTAGATTTGTTTACTGCCCGTCTTCAAAAATTGCCCACTGACTAATACGACAGAATTCATCTAATGAAATTTTCTAATTACCTACTGTAAAATAGTGAAGCAGTGAAGCTAATGAAGATACTGTGCAATGAAACACTTCTTGAATAATATTTATTGTGAAAATTGTATGATTATTTTCATGGATTCAACATTACAGCAGTTAGACAAGAATATATCCGATAAATAAGGTTTCAGATGAAGTAGAGTCCTTTATTAGAGCATTTTACATATTTATGGCAGAAATCCTTGTTCAGTGTGTAGGTCAATTGAAAGTTTAATTATAGAATCAATAAACTAAGGATTTATTGAGGTCTTTCACAAGTTTAAAGACCCTGCCACATCAACATATTTCTCAATGTTATAAAAAAAGTGTTGGAGAAGACACTTTTTGCACGGCCTAGTGACTTCAGAGACCCACTGATTATTGATTTATGTCTGGACGGGTTCAGTAAACTTGCAGATTCCGCTCCATATGCAAAAATATCACACTGCCTGTCAAATTTATTTACATTTTCAAGAATCTCTAATAAAACTTTATAGATATATAATGTTGGAAGTGGCATAATGACAAGATTAATAAAAAAATTACGACAATGCTCTTTGCAACATGTTTTGACGTTTATTCTCAAGGCCTTTCTCTGGCACCTGAATGACCCCAAATTAGAATACCATATGACATAACTGAGTGAAATAATCCACATTAGGCTCTTTTGAGCATCATCAAGCTGACCACATTATTTAATCAGAGTCAGAGTCAGAAATGCTTTACTGTCATAAAAGTTTAGGTTTTGTTGACAAGGCAGGCTTAAGAACTAAAACAATCTGAAACATTAAAATAAAGGTCAATAAATAAAATAAGATATTAATGTGGATCAAGCACACTTCAAAAAGTCTATGGATAAAAGTCTGTGATAAAAAATTTTATAAGTTGGAATTATAAGTTGCGAAGTCATCCGAAAGAAATTCCTCAATAGTATAATAAGCTTTATCTAGCAGAACTTTTTTTACTCTTTTTCGAAACTGTTTGTAGCATGTTAACTTTCTGATTGAAAGGGGAAGATGATTGAAGTATTTAGTGCATCAGTGCTTCTTCCATGCCAAAGTATAGACGTGTCATCAGCAAAACTTGTGAATTTGCCTTCAATCGATATATATTCCAGATCATTTGTATATAATAAAAACAGCAAAGGCCCGAGAACAGATCCCCGAGGTACTCCGCATTTAATGCTCATTTTATCTGATGATGAACTTTTGAAATTCACTACTTGAACACGATCTGATAGATATGACTCAAACCACAACAAGATGTTTCCTCTAATTCCGTAAATCTTCTCAGAACAAACAAAAGAGTAGAAAGTTTGCTAGTCACAGCTTCGATACGATCAGACCAGCTCAATCTATTATCAATAACGAATCCTAAAAAATGTATACTTTGAGTTGGGTGACTATTTGGATTGGAAGATACAATTATATTTCGGTTTCATTTTAATTCAGAGTCAGCTTATTAGCAGCAAACCAATTATATGGTAATATTTTGCTGTCTCACGTCATCAGTTTAAAGCTGGTCGAGTCTTTGCTAGAACATAATGAAGTCCTATCATCTGCAAACAAGGTACATTCTCCGTTTGTTTGAAGGTGATTGACAATGTTTCGTATGGATGTCTGAGGACTTTCATGCCACCATCAATAATCAGTTATGACCCGTTTGTCTCTCTGACAAAAACCACCCTAAAGGGTAAGGGAGCAAGGCTTCATCCTGACCAAAACGACGATGACCATCGGCGCTGTACGTAACCTCTTTGATATAATTCGGACTCACTTCAAATGTATTTCTTCATTTGAAAAAAATATTTTTTTTTATTAACACGCGTGCCTGCTGCGGCTGATTGATCCTCGTCTTAAGTTGGAACGAACATCAAGAATGTCTCTCCATCTAGTGGACGAGGTACTGACCAACTGCATATCCGAAATTTACCCGATTTTTCTGAATAAGGAAGAAAAACGTTCTTATTAGTCAGTGGGCTATGCTTGACGACGGGCAGTAAACAAATTTAAAGAAATTAACTTTAAATGTTCAAGCCCTAGGTGTACCTACACAGTAGGTACACTAAATAAGAAAGTTTTTCTTCCTTATTCAGAGGAATCGAGCAAATTTCGATTATGCAGTTGGTTAGTAGCTCGTCCACTAGATGGAGTGACATTTTTGATGTTTGCTCCAACTTAAGACGAGGAATGAAATACTCTNAACTATTTTTTTTAATTATTCTTTTTTTTACTTGTTTCAGGGATTTCAAATCATTTTATATAGTAGACAATGGAAGTCCGAACCAGTGAAAAGGTACATTCTGTCCTGGTTTTTTCATGAACTTTTTCAAGGAGTATCTAGCTAACCAACACATCGACAGCTATGTTTTCATTTGAACGACCTGAATATCAAAAGCATGCTTCACCGCCTCCTCTCGGCAGGGACGCGATGGCGCGCCTGTCAGAAGTAGAAGATACTTTGCTACTCTACCCTTAAGGTGGAGGTAGTCATGAAATCTAGACATATAAATAGTTTATTTTGATAAAAATATTTTTGCTTTTGCTTTTGCCCTTTTGCAAACAAGGTACATCTTACTGCTTTTATAAAACTGCATAGATCATTGATATAAATCAAGAACAATAGTGGACCTAAAACGGAACCCTGAGGGACACCTTGCTACATTTCTTTGAGATCTGACTTTATGTTGTTCATTTCAACATGTTGGTACGTATTTGTGAGATAAGACTGGACCAGCTTGAGAGCTCTGCCCTAGACACCACAGTAACTCATTTTTTCAATCAAAATATTATACGATACACAGTCAATAGCCTTCACCAGGTCACAGAGTCAAAGAAGAGTGCTTTCCCTGATCAAGACCTTCGACTATGTCGACACTAGAATGTAAGCTGCTTGAGTAACCATATTGTCAACCGTTGAAGTAGGACCGTTTTTCAAAGTAACACATGGATCAATAAGTCCCGAGACTAACAATGAAAACAACATTTTTTTTACAAAATTTTTTTTTATTCATCAACATAATCTCCTTTTAGGGTGATACAATGGTTCCAACGCTTTTCCAATTTTTCAATACCATGTTTATAAAAAAATGTATCTTTCGCTTCAAAATAAGTTTCAGTTTCAGCGATGACCTCCTCATTTGAGCCAAATCTTTTTCCCTGGAGCATTTTTTAAAGATCAGCAAAGAGCCAGTAGTCACTGGGGGCTAAATCTGGTGAGTATGGGGGGTGGGGAAGCAGATCAAAGCCCAATTCGTTTAATTTTGCCATTGTTTTCATCGACCTGTGGCAAGGTGCATTGTCTTGGTGAAAAAGGATTTTTTTTCTCTGCATGTGCGGTCGTTTTTTTGCGATTTCCTCCTTCAAACGTACCAGTAAGTCAATATAATAATCACTGTTGATCGATTTACCTTTTTCGAGGTAGTCAATGAAAATCACGCCATGCGCATCCCAAAAAACTGACGCCATCACTTTGCCAGCTGACTGCTGCGTTTTCGGACGTTTCGGACGGCTTTCGCCAGCTGTGCGCCACTCAGATGACTGCCGCTTTGACTCTGGAGTGTAGTGATGTATCCATGTTTCGTCCATGGTCACGTAATGACGCAAGAAATCTTTTTTGTTGCGAGTAAATAGCGATAAACAGCTTTCTGAATCATCGACTCGTTGCTGTTTTTGTTCCATCGAAAGCAATCGCGGCACCCACTTAGAAAAAACCTTTTTCATGCTCAATTTTTCATGAAGGATAGTAAATACACTTCCATATGATATCTGTGTCATCTCAGCAATCTCACGGAGCTTCACTTTACGATCTTTCATTACAATTTTTGTCACTTCACTCACATTTTCCGGTGTAACAGCTTCCACAGGTCTACCCGAGCGTTCTGCGTCATTTGTGTCGGTACGACCACGTTTAAACTCGGCAAACCACCGACAAATCGTTGCTTTTGATGGACAAGAGTCCGGGTAACATTTTTCAATCCATTCTTTCGCTTGCACGGTGTTTTTACCCATTGAAAAACAATGTTTTATCAGAACACGAAACTCGGTTTTTTCCATTTTTCAAACAAACTACAAAACGACTTTACTCTAACCTCGATAACTCAGCTGTTTCTGGTCCGATCGACTTAAAATTTCGACACGTTTCAAGCAAAGGTTAGTACTCTAGAAAGACGTGGTTACTGGTTTACTAAGAGCGCCATCTCTGGGTTAGTCTCGGGACTTATTGATCCATGTAGTAAGAATGAAATCATCGATAATTCAAAATTACCTCAATTACTTACCCAATTGAAGCACGCTACCAAAGTATATTTTCAATAAAAGCCAACCACTTACCCGTTGGAATACTAGAATTCGTTGTGGCAGACATCCCGCCCAAAGGGGGCATCATACTGACAGGAGGCATGACCCCTGTAGGCATCACCATCTCGCCGCCAATAGGAGGCTGTCTCATCAGTCCCGGCAGCAGGGGTTGCTGCTGAGTGGGTGCTACTTGCGACACGAGGGGTTGATTCGGCATTGCGTTCTGCACCCCGATGAGAGACTGCGTCGCCAGCAGAGGAGCAACTTTCGGAGGCTCTGGTCTGGGAGGGGCGCTGACTAGATTCGCGTTAGGAAGAGGAGGTATAGCGGGGGGAGTATTAGCTTTGAGAGAGGCTAGCAGGGAAGGGGGCAGACCTTTGGGGAGGTCGTAGCCCCTCAGCTTTAGGTTGATCAGCTTGCAGGCGATAGAGAATTCGTTTATGTTCATTTTGCCGTCAGCATCGGTGTCAGCGAGACCCCTAGGAGAAGAAATCGCTTTTACACTGCGGGAAAGGTCTTTAAAATAGTCAGAGCTTACCATATTTGTCCTAAAGTGACAGGGGGCAGCTGCGACTGGAGAAAAAAGCCTTTCGCTTGCTCTCCGGTCACTACCCCATTGTTAGGTTTAAGAGATCTGAACTGTTCCTCATACCGGGCCCTTTCCCTGGCCAAAATGACCCAAGGGTCCCTTGAAGGTGTTCCTGCGGCGGACATCGCAACTAAAACCAAAATAAATTTGATCAATCGCTTTATGTTTGAAGAAATATGTTTTCTTTTTGACGAAGTTTAGCTTATGAGTAAAATTGAGCATAGCAGCCTGATGCAAGTTTTTTGTTGAGATATTTTATGTGTTCATCAAACTTCAGGGTATTATCAATGCATAATCCCAATAATTTGAAGCACGTCTTATTTTCAATGACATGATTCTAGAGGCTTAGGTTTCCACAAACAAATTTAAATTTGAATTATTTCAGTTCTATTCACATTGAAACAAAGGATTGAAATCACATCAAGATTTGACTTCCTCTAAATCAGCCTCAATTATATTTTTCAGAGTCTGTATCATTTCCATGCAAACTTCACTTGTATATTGATATTAGATAGGTCATTCGCATAGATAAGAAACAAAATAGGGCCGAGCACTGATCCTTGGGGGACTCCACAGGTTACTTTCGAGATACTAAAATTTGTCAACAAAAAAAATCTATTAGAATTATTCTTAGAAATGGCCTATTTAACATTTGGAAAGTATATGCCTATGAATGCTTACTATGGAAAATACACCCATTATTATAATCTAACACACAGAATACACAAATGATGGCAAGCCATGTTATAAATTTGCAGATTGACTCACAGCCAAAAATGTATCACTTACTTTGGTCTTAAACTATACAATCAGCTACCTTCACATATAAAAAATATCAATAGCCACAAAAAACTTCTATTCATTAAAAACCATTATGATCAACTGAAAAATATCTTAGAGAACGACTGAATCAGTGTATACTCTGCCTTGATCCTCTACCTCTACATCAATATTTATATCTATATTCATATCAATTCCTATATATGTCTCTACTCAAACTGTTTTCTAAAAACGTTTTTTCTTCTTTTAGTGACAGGCTTAAACAAATTCCAGAGACATAATTTTATTGAATTACTGATTTCTCTGTATCAATATTCATGCATCATAGAAAATATCATTTTACATATACTTAATCATGATTTCTATGTAAAGGAATCATGTGCTTTCAAAAGTGACAAATTTCTACAACATAAAACTTACGACTTTAATCCACCTCGAATTGAAATCAATCTAGTGATAAGAGCTGGGAATTATATGTTTTATGTGTGATTTACAAGGCAAAAAGCAAACGAGCACTAATTCGTACCTTATTCTGGCAGCTGCGACAATCGTCAGTTCTAAAGAGGCATTTTAACAACGAAAAGATAATTTAGCAATAGCTCTAATCATTTTTCACACGACGAATCCTCCCTCAAATTGTTGTCACCATTACCACAGTCGAATCAATAAATTCTACCCTGCAAAGAGCCCACGTAAATTGAATCATAAAATTGGTTTACATAGAAGTCGAAATCGCTTGGCTGTCAAAAATGAATGTTATTGACTTTGACATATAAGGGATTTTTTAGCGAAATAACCGTTGGTCCACGTTGAAGCTTCTTATAAAGAATCGATTTTTCATTGGTTAGGGACTCACCCAAGGATTTTTTGTTTCTGTTTTGAAATAATGACGATTGAAAAAGCCTTTTCAAACAGTGAAATGTGGCATTGTTATCGTTATTGAATATTGAATGATTAGTTAGGAGTTGGATAGAAACTACTGAAAAAAAAATATTTTTTTGGAATCGAGTTTTCTATAATTTTAATGAACAATCTAAAGAATATTAGTATAAGTTTGAGAAAAATAAAAAAAAAGTTCTCTCCTAGTTAAAGCACTAAGACCATTTTGATTTTTTGCAGATTAGTCGTTTTTTTCAATATTAATACGACCACTTCCATTTAGGAATGGATCCCAGATGGCAGAAAAAATTAAAATTATATTTTGTACCTCATCCTTTTACAAACTGACGTGTTCAAGTAAATCTAACAACTGAATTATGAGGGGTGCACCATCTTGTTGTCAACAAATCGTCAATCGATTTAATGCATGTTATTCTATTCCATTTTAGTCTCATCAGTCACAATATTTATGACGTACATTTCCAATATCATGTTTATTCTATGGTGAAGTATAGTTTTCATTCATTGTTACGTCGTAATTCAATTCAGTTATGAATTTCCAACGTAAAAAAGTAGGTATACCTGATTCAAGTAATCTTAAATCAGGTATAATGAAAGCTTATTGACATAGTTTCCTTTCAAACTCCATTCTGATTTCTGTCTGTATTCCCAAAAACTATAAGAGAGAAAAAACCCTGTAGTATTTTTGCTGTAGAAATAAACATTGTACAAGAAAAACAGATATAACAATCGTCAAAATATATTTTACCTAAAGATACATCAATTCACAGACTGACTAATTCCCATCCATTCTCTGGAGTCCCGTGTATTTTCGGGTACTGTGTTTTTTTTCCACCCATGTCGATAGTGGTTTCTTACAATTGAGAGTTCCCTTATTTAAAACATAAAAAATAATAGCATTTGGGGGGACAATAACATAAATTAGACCTAAATATCTAAGTAATCCAAATTCACCGATGAATATATCGATTGGTCCAAGGGATTCATCTATTAGTTGAAGTAAATCTTTAGAAATTTTCTATTGAATTAATGAACTTGCATGTATTAACAAAAGCCGATCTGATATGAAACATTAACTAAAAACAATGGGTGAATCTTATTTGTATATGTTGAATCACAACTGGTGATATTAGATAGATATCGGCTACCCAAATAGCTTCAGGCAGTATTAGCGTTATCAGTTATCACCCGAAGACGGATGTGAATACTATCAATCGGAAGATCGTGATGTTACTTGACTTTGAATCTTTTAATTTTCAATTTCCATTCCTTGTTAATATTTTTTTTCTTCATCTCGTGTTAATATTTCAATTTTTTTGGTTGTTGCTTGTATTTTATTTCATTGTAATTACAGTTTGTTTGCTTGATATAATTGTTATTTTTCAGCTAATATTTTAAATTTTTTACAGATTCTTTCAGGGATTTCAATCAGTTTATATCATATTAGACAATGGAAGTCCGAACTAATGAAATGCACCACGAAACACTGTCAACCACCTTCAAACATCAATATATTTAATTCTTGAATCAAACCAAAGGGGCGGTTAATGGGTTCTGTCGATAAAAAAATCGTGAAAAATGGTCCTAAAATCTATATTTACCCCTACACTTCAAAAACAATGTCACAATCGGATGATCTTACGGTGTCTTCTGTACACATGCGCATTAGTTGCGATCATCTAAACGTATGTGATGGACCGGACAAGTTTATAATTTTCTAGCCGCTAGAAATAGTACGACTATCGCTCAGGTCCACTTTGGTCCCGAATTTAGACTTTAACGCATGTGTTTAAAGATCTGATACAAGTGTTTAGTGAAAGAGAAATTTCGCTGTGATAGTAGTACTCTGTTTTCTGTAGAAGAATTTTAAATCCTTAAGGTAAGGGGGTAGACTTTTAATTTATAAAATCATTATTTAACCGTTTGTTACAAGGTGTAGGGGAGATGTTGGTTGCTATGCGACCGGATGTTAATGGCGCCAAAAACTGCGGTTTTGAACGGTGTTTTTAGATTGAGATCAACAATACTCCTATAATTTTCCTCATTAGTTGATTCATATGAAATGATAGAATATGTTACCATTGTCAAAATTGTGTGACAATATAAATTGGTGCTATGAATACATATTTCATTGCCTATTTATGTTTTATCAATGTTGATTACTTTAAATGTTAAATAACGTTCAGTTGATAATAATTTAAAAGCGTACCGGGTTTGTAAAAATGAAATTTTCATTTCAAAATAAGTTGAACGTTGAAATTATCTTTTGAGAGTGAATAATTGTGGACGCAATCTGGAAAATTGATTTTGCCTTCTTTGAATTTTAAATTAATAATGATCTTATTCTATCTGTATACTATAGTATATACTTCGTATATACTATAGCTACTTATCTTCGAGTTCAAATTTAGATTTGCTCCTATTTGTGAACAAAAAATTTGTTGTTAAATATTTGTTTCAAAAGTTCAAGTCTCACGTAGATATCAACAAAAGAGCTATACATAAAAACTGATAACAAAAATAATTTTCCATTCGAAACGTTTCAAAGTTATGTATTGAGGTAATAAATTAGCTGAGTTATAAAAGTTGTGTAATATTACAAAATATTTTGTAATCGAGACCATTGTTATTTTCACATTAAATTAGAAAAACAGTCGTTTACATTTATGTTAGTTCAAATTACGATGAAAACGATTAAAAGACAGGACAGTATCCAGGAAATATTTTTTTCATGAACTTCATATGACTGTAATTTTCACTCGATATGTTGTATACAGGGTGTTTCCTACGGTACGAAATTTCAGAGGGTGATTCTTTAGGTCGTTTTAAGAAAAAAAGTTCATATGAACATAATATGTCCGGAGTTGCTTCAGTTCTGAGATACAGCGACACAAGCGACGAAAAAGTTGTATTTTCAGTTTAATGATCTGAAAAATAAAAAACTACAAGTCAGTAGCGTACAAGTTTTTCCCACTGCACTGTGGTGCCCACCTAATAATTTAAATCTAGTTAGGGCTAAATAAACGCCTTATTATTTCAAATAACTGTAGCAATCCCATTACGATACATCTTGATCAAATTTTTGCTCTAGACACCCTTTCCAGATTAGTGGAAACATAGCTTCCTGAAACCAATACATAAACTAGGAGATAAGAAAAATATTAGGAATTATAGAGCTGTTTGGGATCCCTGCGGTACGCCCATTCAGGGGTACCGCAGGGATCCCACATTGGCCCACTGCTGTTCAACTTGTTTGTATCTTATGTTTGCTGATGATATCAAACTTTATTGAGCAATTACTTGCCAGGAAGATGCTGAATTAGTTCAAAAAGATCTCGAAGCCTTTTCCATGTGGTGCAGAAATAATTCGTTAGAGGTAAACATTGATAAGTGTCAAATCATTACGTTCGCTAAAATTAGAAGTCCAATATTCTTTGAATGTGCATTGAATAATATAGCTCTTGAAAGAGAAACATTTATTCGCGATCTAGGAGTTAAATTTCATAGCGTAATCAATTTTAATCTTCAAGTATCAGAAATTGTGACATAAAGTCTCAAAATGTTAGGTTTTGTGTTGAGAATTTCTACTGATTTTTCAATTAAAACGAAAAAGATTTTACATTGTGCTTTCGTAAGATCCATTCTTGAATATTGTTCGGTTATATGGGACCCATACTATAATGTAAATATCTATTTGATTGGGAATGTTCAAAAGAAATTCTCAAGGATTTGTGCTTTTCACTTTGGTATTCAACGAAATGACCAACTCTTAACCAAGTTAAATATAAATTCTTCGGAAGATAGGAGAATTTCTATGAACTTGAGTTTCCTCTTTAAATTAATAAATAGTGAGATAAACTGCCCAGAACTACTTCAACTAAAAAACTTTTCATATCAAACAAAGAGATACGAGAAATCCTTACATTTTTCATATACATTTTTTCCATATCAATCATGTTTTGAACAGCCCGATTCCTCGTATTCTGGAGCTGGGAAATCAATATCATAATAACTTCAATGTATCACTTTAGGTCTTTAAAAATCAACTGAAAAGGCTATAGCGTTTTCGAAGCTTTTCTTGACCTTACCATTTTCTTTGTAAGTACCAGATTTGCTACATCTTTTTTCTTGTAAGTATCAGAATTGCTTCATCTTTTAGTCACAAGACAAAGATTTATTAATATTTTGTATTATACACTTCGCTAAATGTTTTGTTAAATTGTAATGTAGAAGACATCAGACATGAGCATTCAAAAATACTTTGTAGTTCCTCACACTTTGTTAAATATGTTTTTGTAAATTGGTTTTTCCGTTTCAACCAAATCAACAGACCTCGAAATGTGATAATTTCTGTCGATCGTTCAAATCATGGGGCACCCACTTTTCAAGTTTTCTGACCTTTCCAATACGTTTTAAACCATCAAAAACCGCATGGGAGCTGACGCCCAGTTTTTCCACCATCTCACGCACCGTTTGTGACGGATCAATCTCCACTAGGGTCCTCAAATCATCGTCCTGGATTACTGTAGGTCGACAACTTCGGGGCTCATCGTTGAGGTTTAAATCTCTGGAACGAAATTTCGTAAATGAACGTCAAACAGAGCTACCATTTCCAAATGTCTGGTCAATTTTTCGGGCTGTTTCGGTAACGCTTTGGTTCAATTTGAATTCGTAGAGAAAAACTGGAGTAAAATCGCCTAGCGACATTATATAAAAAAATGTGTTTAATGTCTAAACAGGAATAAATCCCAATAACAAACATATTAATATTATGAACAAGCATGTTACAATTTATATCTGCCTATATACACACAATACAGATACATATATACATACATACA